AAAAATGAAATAATGAAATTTGCAGGTAAATGGATGGATCTAGAAACTGTTCTTAAGTAGTACAGACTCAGAAAAACAAATGATGTGTTTTCCCTCATATGTGGATCCTAGCACCAAACCCTTTTAAATTCCTGGTTCCTTTAATAAGATGATGCTATACAGCAGTCCCTTCTGCATGAAAGAACTATCATCATCACTTTAGCTGAGCCTGATTGCTAAACATCACCACAAATGTGCTTGTTGACAGTTGTGCTCATTCATTAAAGGAGGGACAAGCAGGGTCACTGGACCCTCACTGGATTATCCAGCCACTCTTCCCAGCCAACTTATGTATTTGACCCTAATCACACATAGTCTCCTGGATTTGGGGAGAGCTAAAGTATACAATCTGTGGAAAGCTAGGAAGAGAAGGCATGACCCATGCTGGAAGGATTTCCAGTGTGCATAACCTCAGGTCATATATACACCTCAGCAACCCCTCAGTTATCTCAGTAAGTAAGCCCAATAAATTCATTGGTTCCCCAGTAAAGGTTTAATCAAACATTGGCTTGACACTAGAACCTTAAAAGGTAATAAGCATTTCTTAGCAGCCCCAGGAAAAGAAGTCTCACAACAGCTAGAAAATTTATTTGTTAATGCTATTATGTCTCATAATTATTTTTTACAAAAAGAAAATCAGAATGTAAAAGGTGTTAAAAGGATATGGGAATGGAGATATTTTCCAAAATAGAAAAAATGAGAAAGCCTAAGCAAGTGATGAAAGTCTGTATAAGTTTGTTATAAAGGATGAGAGATGAGACAAAAATAATATGCATATGATCTTAAAATTTCTATGGTCATAGTTTAGTCAACTAGTTTAAGGAACGAAATATATATCTAATCAAGGTTTATCTGAGAATATTTGGTTTTCTACCCAAGCCTAATCTACATAGCACATGATAATTAAAAGTACCAGACTTGTGGAACTAACCTTCTTGGATGTTTAACAGCTATAGTTTGAGGCCTATACTAATGTGGTCAGAGGTATTTAAAGGACAGTTTTTGCCCCTTGCCCTCCAAGGTTGACTAAGTTCCAGGGGACTAGGGAACATCTCTCAAAATGTCCTGTAACTGTGGTGAGTCACCTGTCCTCTTGTTCAGGAAGGACATGGAGACCCTACCAGATGGAGTTGAAACAGTGTCCAGTCTGCAAAGAGGAGGGTCAACTCAGAGGAAACATCTAATTCATTCTTCCAAGTGAAGCCAGAAATGGTTGAGCAGAACCTTTGACTTATCTTCACATAGAAGGAACTGGTAAAAGAAAGGAGCCAGGAGTTCCTCCCAAGCCCATGTGACCCCTGAAGAACAGATCCTCAAATGACCTTAAGTGTAAAAACAGATTTATTTT